CTAAACGCAAACCCTAAACCCTAAACCCTAAAACTTTAAACCCTAAATGCTAAACCCTAAACCCTAAAACTTTAAACCCTAAATGCCAGCTGCTAAGCTGCTACACCCTCCGCCAGTCCCATGGAGCCCCTTTGAAAGCGCCCTCGCAGGATCCCCCTCAACCCTACTTTTCTGGCCCTGCACCCCCCGAACCAGAACTAGGTAGGCCTTTGGGACATTTTATACTTTCCCTTATTGGGCTTCAGAGAATCTTATTTACGAATATTTTTCAGAGGCTTTGAGGGGCCAACCTAGAGAAGATCGCCTCGGACATTGACGGTCTGTTGGTCAAGTCCTTTCGCAAGAGGACAATCCTCACCTTCAGCGAAGTGACTGACGTTGTTGTAGAGCCCAACGTCCGAGGTGGCCAAGCAACGTAAAGTGTCCGGTGTCGACTTGTTATGGAACGCGCCAGGCTCGGAAAAGTGCGTTGCCAGTCTTCTTGGCAAGATCTTGGGTGCATGGCACGCGCGTTCCAGTGGTAAAACACTGCAAACTTCAGCTGCAGCCCGAGGAGATTCAGACTTGGATTGCGACAGGCCACAAAACACACGCCCTCATCCTCAGCGGCCTCGATGAGATCGGAAAGACCGCTTTGGCGGCGAGTGCTCTTGTTGCGGTCTCTGGGTGTTATCACTTCATCACACGCACTGACCAGGCCAAGCGCTTGGTGTTTACAGGGGGTGAAGACCTTCTCTGGGATGAAGCTTGTCTGGCAGTGGATGAAGATGCATGCAAGGCATGGGTAGATCTCAAGCACGACCGCACGGTGCATTGCCGAAGCGAAGCTGGGATCTCAATAATTACCGATAGTATTATGGGGGTTCCGTATTCTACCGATAGTATCATGTACCCCCAAACCCTATTCTTATTATTAAGGCCCCTATATCATAATGCGTATCCATTGTATCCATCCAGGAAGATGGGTTTATTGTTTTTGAAAGTTCTTTAAACCTAGGACAGGTCTTCCCCGAACGTACCTACACTAGTGCTTCGTGGTAAGCTGCTACAGTAGGTGAACGTACCACCGAATCGAAAAGCCCCCTAAACCCCTAAACCGTAGAATCGAAAAGCCGTGAAGGCCCAGGGCCCTGGGCAAGTGCCCCCAAAACCTCAAAACCCTCAAACCCTTAAGCCCTAAACCCTAAAACCCACAAGCCTTAAACCCTAAAACCCTAAAACCCTGCGCCAGGACCCAACTACAGGGGCTTCGACTGGATGAAGCTGCTGGGGGCCCGGGAAGATTGAAGGTACTTGGGGCCTGGGAGTTTAGCCTTGGGGGCTTTGAAGCTTTAGAGTTGAACCTTACACCCTAAACCCTATAAGCCC